TGAGCAAAACGTTTGCTCTACTATACATCACTCATACTTACAAAATGGACAAATAATGTCTCCACAAGACTTAGTTTCTTGATTTGGTCCCAATGTGGAGCAGTCTTTACCATTGCCTTGTGCCCTGGGTTTATCACATGATCTGGTACGTGTAGTGACTCCACCCCCTCCGCAGGTTGTACTGCAAGGAGTCCAGTCAGACCATTTACCATAGCCTCCGTCGACGTCGGCTATAAGACAATAGAAAATCGATCAAGTACAAGTTATCTCTTTGTCTGATAAGACTGTTCATGTAACATGAACAAACTCACACAAAGAAGCTCAGAAGCAAACATTTTAAAATTGATTTAAGGAATAAGAGACGAAATTCCGTGTTTGATACTCTGATCAAAACACGCGGGATGTAGGGAGAGCACGAGAGAAGCGTAGGAAACCACGACGCGTAGCGGAGTGGTTTCCAGCTTTTCGAGTGCTCTCCCTACATCCCAAGTGTTTTGATCAGAGTATCAAACACGGAATTTCGTCTTTTATTTCTTTTCTAAAATTAAAAGAAAACAAGAAATTTTTGACGTGCGCGAGCGTGTTTTGATACTGTAATCAAACATGGTTTTCTACCAATCACAGCGCGCGTAGTATCCTAAATATTTTAGAATTCACTATTAAAAATGAATAATTGTTAGATATCCGAGAAACAAAACTAAATAAATGACTATAAATGTTTATTACAGAATTAGCTATAATAGGTTATTTGTCATTGCCAAGAAAATTTTATCGCTCACCAGTCTATTATGTCAATATGTTTCATTATTATATGAGTTATACCTTCATTACCTTGACAAGACTGCTTGATAATTGGACCAAGTTTTCTTTTCAATGCATCAAAGTCTTCTGCAAGGATTACATTGTCTTCATTCATTTTTGCAATTACAAGAAGTTGTTTATTTGAGATGTCGTTTCCAATGCCAACTGCTAACGACGTCTTTAATTCCTATAGAAAAAAACTTTTTTAATTTACAAACAAATTGTTTATTTAAAGGTGACACTTCATTGGTACCYTGTCAAAAGCTTAGGGTAAGGATTACCATTTCGCTAKTGTTAAAGTGGAGTGGTTACCTAATGRTTATGGCCTTTGTCTAATGYTAGTCACGTGAACAGTTTTGAAAACTCAACTTTTTGTCTACCTAAGAATAACTTAGAATTACTGGAAGACAGAAGATCCTCCGCTTGTAAGGACTTTATCTCCTCAGTTCAACCAAATAACCCCCTTTATAACATCATTAAGGGTCAGTTAACTAAATCATCGCATAATTATAGCTTAAGAATTTRTAGTAACTTTTAGCAAAAATAATATTCCACCATCGAAGCTTAATATACGGAACTTTGACAAGTACAACCATAAAACAAACCTTAATTCCACTGAATTCCATAGCTCTCACCAGGCTCTCAAGACCGTTACTGTTCACACCATCAGTAAACACAATCAGCAGATCTCTAACATTTTGTCTGTTGCCGGTGYTCTTACCAAAGAACACTATTCCAGCCTCTTTAAGAGCCTTAGAGGTATAKGTCTTCCCATATGGGTAACTGAGGAAATACCAAGGTATAACAGTATAACAATGGTTATATATAAGATCATAATGAAATCTTATCAAGTAAAAGTTAACAATCAGTTAATACTGGAATAATATTTAATATGAATATGAAGACCGCATAACACTATGATAGACACGATATAGAAATGAACAAAAGTTATAGTGCTTAGAAAGAGGCAATTCCAGCAGAAAGATCCTTAGCTTAGGAATAAATTGTTCGGAAAAAATTTGTTTCCGACCTCTCTGGGATTCGAACCCACGACCTTCGGATTTGTACTACCGATACTCTACCAGCTGAGCTACAGGGACAGACTGGGAGCAGACCGGGGTGCAATTGTTGCGGTGATAGAATAATGTAAAGATATTAATTTGAGGACCGCATGGGACTGTGATAGAAACGAAATTAAAGAACGTTATATTGCTTAGAAGGAGGCAATTCTGGAGAARGTCCCTTAGGAATAAATTCGTAGGGGCAAAAGTTGCGGTAACCGGGRCATTTATACTTCATAACTTGCAGCTCGTTTCAGTATACCATGATATGTAAATCTGCCTTAACGAATTGTCTTGGTGTGTGGAAATGAAGAGCTGAAATAATGAAAATGTAATAATCGATCTTCATTCGYAATTTTACTGTAGTGATTTGAAAGTTATATACTGCGAGTTAAGTTATTCAACTATTTTTTTTCTTTTTATACCAGGCAATACCATTGGGAATATTTAACATGCTCCGATAAAAAAAAACATACAGTATGTACAAAGGACACGAGAGAACCGTAAAAAATACACGACGCAAAGCAGACTTACCCAATGCTATCGATCTTGCTTTTAACTCCCTCAAGGTCTTGTGYTGAATCGAATCTGTGATTAACCCACACTTCACTGGCAAAGGTTATGATTCCGAAATGCGTCCCCTCTGGAGAAACGTTCAGATATTCCGCTAATTTCTTAAGAACTCCCTTTGTTTTATCAAAATTTGATTCCTTCACGCTTGTAGATCCATCCAGCAGTATTCCAACGTCTAGTTTTCCTTGACAGTCTAGTTTAAATCGTTCATAAAAGTGTTGTTAATAAATTTATGTTCTTCATTTTCAGCTCACGTCATAGCGACCGTCATTTCTTCAACATGGCCGCGGGTCTTTTATCAGTTTATATCTCATGGAATTTGTAAAAATGATCAATTGATGCAGTTGTGTCTTTTTGATTGCATTGCATGGTTACTTTCTGCTAACATGCTTTGGACTATACTGGTATGTTTGTTTGTTTTTTTGCGTTATAAGGCGGAGGAATACACATTAAGTAATTTACAAAGACACAATGATTTGATGTWCTAGAAGTGATGTGATCGTCGTCCGGACGACCTTAATAATGTCGATAATGTCGATAATGTAAAATGTTCATTAAAATATTACTGAGTAATCCAATTTGGTGTTGAAAAATATCACATTACTGCAACCCAATTAGACGCATTTCGCCAATAAGATATTGTTTAATCTGAGTCAAAATTACTTGAGTTTCATTTGCAACTGTATTGTACATCACTCATACTTACAAAATGGACAAATATCTTCTCCACAAGACTTCGTTTCTTGATTTGGTCCCAAAGTCGAGCAGTCTTTACCATTGCCYTGTGGCTTGGGATTATCACATGATCTGGTACGTGTAGTAACTCCGCCACCACCGCATGTTTTTGTGCAGGGAGTCCAGTCAGACCATTTACCATAGCCTCCGTCGATGCCGGCTATAAGACAATAGAAAGTCGATCAAGTAGAAGTTATCTATTTTTCTRATAATGCTTTTCTTGTGTTTTGGTTTTCATCCATGAAACTTGCTTTTGGAGCTGACATGAACTGCGTGCACTTTTGGAGGGATAACTCCATTAAGGTTACCCCTGACACTACCGGGAAGTGTTAAAAAAAATCATATCTCGCGCGATTTAATAGGAAATCCGCAAAATTATACATTTTCTGAGAAACAAAATGACAAAGAATCCATATCTGGACGTATTWTTTGATAAAATTGATTATTTTAAAAGACATCAAGGACTTGACGAGAACACAGTGTCTCCGCGCGAGAGATTCGTTTGCAGAAATTTTTACGTAGAAAGATAAACTTTTTTGATAATCCTGTTGCCAAGCCATTGTTCTGCAAAAGTGTGTCTGCATTTGGCTTTTCAACGCTTCGTTATTTTTTTATTCGATTTTAAAGTTAGACTAGGCCCTATTTTACCTCATTCCTTACAAAACTGTTTATTTCTCGACAAAGAAAACTTAAAAAGAAAAACGAAGACACACTTTGAAAATTCAGTAATGTCCGAATCGACATGCAAAATTTAGAGGAAATTCGTCTGATAAGTTCTGCAAACGAACCGTTTGAATTTTAGTATTTTATCGAAATCTACTTTTAGGAAACATGAAGTTGAAGTTTAATGGGATTAAAGGATTAGGGGTCAAGTGTTGACAAGCGTACTCGTTCGGTAGCCAATAAGCATAAGGAAGAAATACGATACAAGAACGGTGGGAGAGCATATTCAGCGAACGTGACCTTGTTGTTTGACCTTCTTCGCGGACTGTGCAGCGAATAGTAATAATTTTCAGTAAGTTTTCTCAAAATGGTGAATCCCAAAGGCCTTGGCAAAGGATATTTTCAAGTATACAGTGGAATAAGTATCGCTTTGGTCTTTATATCGCTTGATGTGAAGTTTGTGATGTCATGTGACCCCGTCGTGCTTTGATAACGTGACTATTAATTCGCCAAGACTTACGATGACAGCCGCAGTCAGCAGTAAAACACGTTTCAGAGAACCTCAGAACGTTTTTTGTTTATAACTAGTTTAGAAAAAAATACATCGGCATAAACTTTAGTCAAAGTTGTAGATATACTTCTTTTAATTCGCTCAGATTAATTTAAAAAATTTGAAAGATTTGACGAGAATAGTGTCCGGGGTAACCTTAAGAGCTTCCCACAGGAAGGTTATGTCAATCGGCGAATACAATTTCACAATCTTCCCCGGACTTATATATAGTGACACATCTATTATCTACACACCCTTGACGTCATAAATTTTAAAAACTCAAGTGTAACCAAGAGCGCAGCAAGAAAAAAACGTCTGTAATTTGCTTTTAACTACATTTAATTCTTAAAATCGTTCYATTCTTTCAGCTGAGCGCGCGCGCGAGACGTTGTGTCATCACAGTGTGCATGTTTTATAGACAATCAACCAATCAGCGTGCGGGAATTTACACAAGCATTATAAAGCTAGTATTTCATATCATGACTTCTTCGAACATTAACTACAACCTTTCATAATGTATTATGGTGTTTAAAAGCCTTTGCCGATTCCTTTAGCATTGTAAGAAGATACCGCGCGCGAGACTACAAAATTTACAAACTCCCCTTGCATTTACAATGGTTTTATTTTCCTGATGATTGATTTCGTATTCATTTGCAGTTAGGCGATTATTATAAGTAATAGCATGGCTCTGAGGTAGCCTCCTCCACAGGCAACTCTTTTTTCCTCCTTTGGGCTTACTTTGTAACGGTCATTTTGGCCGTTAGGGACTAGTGACGAGATAGCAAAAATAAAAAGAGGAGGAGTTGCCTGCCGAATCTCGACGTGTGTGGACCGCGCTCTTCACCTTGTGGACTTTGTTCTGGACCGGGGGTACCCTGGGGAATTTTTGACACACAAAACGTTACATGTCTAGCCCCCCTAAGAAGTTGTTTTATCGCACGTTCAGACTTAGAAA